TTTAACTGTTAAACCAATCAACCAGCATGTTAAGGAAGGCTCTATTAAGGGTATTAGGCTGTGTCTATTTTCTTGTGACTACTACCAAATTGTACTAATTTCATTATTCCATTTATTACTTGCATGCACAGAATAAAGCTTCCTGTTGGTATTTTTGTGTGGCAAGTACTTTACTTAGAAAGGATCCTCAGATTCAAACCAGAGGGGAGGTTTTATCCTCTCCTGGTACTAATTTTGGAAGTCTCACAACAACAAAGTGTGCAAAGGTCAAAGTGGAGGTGAATACTTTCCAAGACAGTGTACTTAGCAAGTGCTTTATCTTTGTAGTGATAAGGATTGCAGATCAAATCAGAGGCCCCACAGTCAGGGAAAGAAGCCATCTAATAAGCAGTGTGGTTTGCCACCCAATATCCGATGTGCCTGACAAATGATTGGGCACATCATGGGTAGTGCATCTCCTCCCTATACTTGGTCTGCCCGCAGGTATTCCAGGGGACTCCTCAGGAAAAAGGAGTCCTCTCCTCCCTGCTGCTACCATGAACCATTTCAAATGTGCAGTTACTTTTTGCACAGCAGAAGCTTGAAACCCATTCCCTGTCCTATTGCTTTCTCTAGTCAAACTGCTACCAAGAGAAACCCAAGCTGCAAGGTATCTTGTACAGTGAAAAGAGTGTTTTCCAGGTTTTATACCCTCTTCTCAGGAAGATGCTCATCTTTTGTTTTTTTCCCCCATTAGTCCCCATGTGGGGGAAAACATATTTTGGCATTTGTCCTGATCTTCTAGGTGCTCTGGAAGAGCTACAAGGAATTTCCCTCCTTTTTAAAGGGAAAGAAATGTTGACAGTCAAATATGGGCTTCCCTTTTTAAAAATTCCCCTTTTTACAATGGGGAAATGCATGGATTTGCACTGGAAGACATCTCTGTGCTTGCCCTAAGTTTAACCCCTCATGGGGGGCCCCCTTCCCATTTTGAAGGCATATTGACAGTGATCCAATATGCTGGGAACAGCTATGCACAGCTTTCTCAGGGCCCAGCAGTGGCCAGCAAAACAGAAACCTTGAAATGAGGGATTGGGGTGAATCCAGAGAATCTTGCAGAATAATTAAACAGGATCTTTGGTGGTGAAGGGGTTATAAAGCTCTGTTGTGGGGAATGAAAAAGCTGCTGAGAGGAGACTAGGGGAAAGTATAAACATGCCCAGCTTACAAAGCCAACCAACAGAAAAAAAATAGTGACCTAGTGGTGAAGGACAAATAGCAAATACACTGGTGACACAGCAGTAATGCAACAATTTCTTCTGAAAAAGATTCTCCTGCTAGAAAAATGCCTGGAATATGCACAGCTAGTTGGTAGAGCTGTGAAGGGGAAGTGGGGAGAAGACAGGGGTGGGGGAAACAAAGCCAGGGAAAGATAATTGTCAGGTGTTCTTACCATGAAACCAACTTGTGGTATTAAGACTGTGGTTTGTGGAGTCAGCCTAGCGAGAAAAACAATAAAAAAGCCACCGCAGTAATATTTTTAATGGGAGCAACCAAAGGCACAAACTGGTGAGTTCTGAATAGCCCTACTTCAGGCTGGGTCTTAAATAAAAAATCCAAAACTGAAATCCTTTCTGTACCCACAAAAACCACTCAGTGACATGTAATGGGCAGCAGCCAACAGCCCTGACATCAACTCTTAGGTTGGAATACTCCTGCCAGGGCCTACCAGGCTGAAATTTCTCTCTGATAAAATGGTTTTATTTCTAAGTAAATGTACAGCAGAGGCAAATCCCATTTTATTTCTCTGGTCATGGTGGTGCTATGATTTTGGTGAATGTATTTCTGCATCCATCCATAATTGTCTGGGCTGTTGTATTGCCAGTGCTTTTTTTGTCATAGAATGCACCGGAATGGAGTTCCAGCACCTTTTTTCAACAGATTTTCCAAGTTTTAAAAGTAACTTTTGAAAATTTGATGTTTGGTCCATGTGGATTTGAATCGTCCTGTCGAGCGTAGCAGGTCTGCAGCAAAAACGTTAAAACGGTGCACGCGGGCTGCCTGTGTGTCGAATCCAATGCATGCATACTTCATCCGCGCTGGTTGTGATGGTGCTGCTCAGCTTGTGATTGGTTGTGTGGCCGTATGCTGAGTGCTTACTGCAGGTGGCAACCGTTATGTTTTGTTACACAACTGAAGTGTGGGGTGGGTGTACAGTGATTGACTACGTGCGAAAGGTAAATAATGAGTTCCGGCACCTTTTTTCTTACAAAAAAATCACTGTGTACTGCCATCAATCATGTTCGTTAGACTAAATGCAGGATATAAATAAAATGCAAATAAATAAAATATGAGTTGGCTCCAGGCTTGGGTCAGACTGATAGTGTTTTTCTCCTCTATTTCTATTGCTCGCCAGCAAGCATAAGGAGAGATATGATTATATTTCGTTTCACTTTCCTTAGAGAATTGCCTTATTTCTTCTCTTGAACTCTGCAATTTAGAAGTGTTTGTGTAAGATTTGCAAACCAGTATGGAAGAAAAGACACTCACTTCCTTTCCTAGTGGAGTATTTATCTTTTGTTCTCTCCCCCTCACCATAACTTGGGTGGAGATGCGTTTTAGTTTTGCTGATACTCTACACAATGCCCATCTTTGACTCAGAGATAGATTTTTAAAGATTCCTCACTGTTTGGCACCTTGATGATTTAGTAGAGAAGCTGCAGAAAATGAATCAGTGCAAATCCTAACAAGAATATGCCAACAAATATGGAAAACAAAACAATGACACACAGACTGGAAATGTTAAATATTTATTCCAGTCCCCAAGAAAGGAGATGCAAAAGAACGGAGCAGCGAAAGAACCAATGCATTAATCTCCCATGCAAGCAAAGTGATGCTCAAAGTATTGCAACAAAGAATACTACCCTATATGGAGTGAGAAATGCCTGACATTCATGCTGGATTCCAAAGAGGTGGAAACATTAGAGATGACATTGCAAATAGGCACTGGCTACTGGAGCACACCAAAGAATTTCAGAAAAGTTTATAGACTACAGCAAAGCCTTTGACTTAGTGATTCACAAGAAGCTATGGATGGTCCTGAAAGAAATGGGGATACCTCAGCACTTGATTGTCCTGATGTGAAACGTGTATCATGGAGAAGAAGCTACTGTTAGGCCAGAATATGAAGAAACAGAATGGTTTCTCATAGGCAAAGATGTCACACAACGGTGTATTTCAATCTATACAGTGGTGCCTCATTCTTTGAATTTAATTCATATCAGGAGGCCATTTGAACTCTGCATTGTTTGAAGTCCAAAGCAATGTTCCCCATTAGAAATAATGGAAAGTGAATTAATTTGTTCCCAGACCCTGAACAATACCCATCTCAATAAACTTAAACAGCAAATGTGCATTTAATTAAAACCTGAAAACAATTAATAAATATGTATACTACTGTATAATAAAATGACAATTACATTTACTGTCCATTTTTCTGAAGGGAGGCTGCAGCCAAAAAATCTGAAGAAGACTGGGCCTTGGAAGGGCCTCAATGAAAGAACTAGAAAATTACAAGGGCAAAATCATCCACACTATTGTATTCCTGATCACTGTGTATGGGTATGAAGACTGGACAGTGAAGTACACTGACAGGAATAAAATGAATGCATGAAACATGGTGCTGGAGGCAAGCTTTGCAACTAAATACCAAGAATGGACAGAAGGATAACCAAGTAGGTCCTAGAACAAATTAATCCAAAACTTTTTCTCAAAGTAAAAATGACAAAACTGAAGCTGTCTTACTTTAGGCTCATAATGAGAAGACCTACCAGAAAAGGCGAGACTGATCAATTCTGTAAAGGAAACTAAAGCCCTGAGTTTAAGAGAAGAGCTGTTAAGAACAGACATTTTGGAGGGCATTCATTCATACATTCATTGTAAGTCAGACAATCTGTTAAACTCCAACTCTCAAGCAGCAGAATACTTAGCAATAGTAGAAATTGTAGTCCAAAATCTGGAGGTCACCACAATACTGTACTGTAGCTTAGTAGGAAAAGTAACATCCTCAAATATGTGTAAGGTTTCATAGAACCTTTTATAATTAACTACAAAGCACCTAACTGCACCCCTTACCCAAAACAGCTATTTCCTGTCTCCTGCCCATAATTTAATGTAATAGCCTTTACCTGAACATGTATCAGACAAAAGAAATCAGAGGAATTACTCTGGGAGTCAGTGTAGAAAGTCGTCTCCAGCTCAGTGCCTTTCAGATTCTTTGGGTTTCAACTCCTGTAAGCCCCAACCAGCATGCCCAGTACTGTGAGTTGCAGTTCCCAACATTTGGGAGCCAGTGTGGCGTAGTGCGACTGCAGCTCAGGTGACCTGAATTCTAGACCCCGCTCCGCCATGGAAGCAACTGGGGGACTTTGGGCCGGCCAGACTCTCAGCCCAACCCACCTCACGGGATTGTTGTTGTGTTGATAAGGCTGAGAGCAGGAGAATGCAAACTACTTTGAGTTCTTCATTAAGAAAAATGATATAATTGGATCTAAATCAAATAAATCACAAGGTTAGAGAAAGCGTTCCAGAACACAGGATTTCCTTCCAACGAACTTAAGCAGAATCGAGCGCCTCAACAACGCAGTTCGTTACTCGCATATTACGACAACAATGAAGAATCGTGAATTTGCATTTATTTAAAGGAAGAACTTTAGTTCGAAGCCTTCATTGGTAAATAAGTCACCCCTCCCAAAAAGAAGAAACGAAAGTGAAACAAACGAAGCAGGTTTGTAATCTTAACTAAAGCCCAACTAAAATCAACATGAGCTGCTTCCGAAAAAGAAAACTGTCTCTAGGATTGGCTTGATTGTATTCCTGGGCGTGGCTTTTAGCAAAAATGCAAACGATCTGTTCCCCACCCAATAAGTTTTTGTTCCAGCCGCTATAAGCCCAACCCGAGAGCAAAGTCCGTGACGGCGGCGACGACCAGACAGACGCAAGTCCCGCAGAAGGCAGGTTTTCGTCCCAGCGGGCTACGCGAAATCGTCTACGCTATTCTCCTAACCCTCTTCCCTCGCTTGGGAGGGCTAGCGAGGGTTGCGATTGGTGGGAAGTCAAGGCGGCACGTGACCGCGGGCGGGAGGCCGGGCTGGAAGGGGGAGCTGGAGGGGGAGCGGGCTGGGGTGGGCAGGGCGGCAGTCGCAGCTGCACGTGCTTCGGCGTCGCTGCTGACGAGGAGCTTCTGTCGGCGTCTTCAGAAGTGTGAGGCGTTGAGGGTCGGCGAAGAGTTGGGGTTTCGGGGGTCTCCACTTTTTCCTGTTGGTGCGCGTAGTTCGGCAGCGTAGTTGCACTTTGGCGGGAACGGGTCGCGGCAGCGTCCCTGGCTTCGCCTCCGCCAGGTGGGAAGCTGAGGTGGGAGCGAGACGGCGGAGGGGGAGCGGGTGGAGTAAACAAGAAATGAGGGGGGTGAGGAAGGTCGCTTGGGAGGGGAAAGAGGTCAGTGGGTTGGTTTGACGGGGGTGCGGAGTCGGGGGTTCAAGGGCGGCCGCCATCCAGACCTTCCACAAGGCCGCTCTCCCGCCTCTCCCTTTGTGTAACGGGCGCCGCCGCCGCTGCCCTTTTTTCTCCCCTCAGCAGGACCACTTCGGAGTGCGTGCAGCTGCGGACCGCTCCCATGGCTGATGAGGATTGGGACACGGAGATCAGCGATCAAGGAAGCGGTGACACCGACAGCGGCTTGTCCGCCGTCCAGAAACTGGTGGGTGTCTACAAAGGTCACAGGTGGGGATGCTATAGGTTTCCTACCATCTTGAATAGTTCTCTTCTATCTAGGGTCTGGAACCTTAGTGCCTGCTTGTGAAAAATGCCGCTCTGTGTAAAAGCAAATAATGGGAGGGAGTTTAATGTGTTAATTGAATTTGAGGATTTTAAGATATTCTTACTTAGTTAGGAAGTGGATATATTTATATATTCAAATATAAATTGAATATATTTAATCTATCTTGAAAATATTTGTACTGATTAAATCAGCGTACCTGACTGAGAATTGAAATAGTTTTTGTGCTGGTAATTTAAACTGGTTCTCAATATTGTCGTGTGTGGCAAAGGCCAAATTGGAAACAGCAATGCTAAAGTCCTGTGCTTATGCTGCCATCCTATGAATCATATTGAAGAGGAGTCCCATTGAACACAATGGGACTTACTTCCAAGAAGGAAGAAGGGTGGAAGGCCTGGTCTTCACATGCAGACAACTGAGGTTATAAATGCCATCTTTTCATGATCCATTATATTTAAAAAATAGAGTGATGCTTCTATGAGTAATCCACAGCATGTGTAGATGTTTTTGACTTGGTTTTCTCCTTGTTATGTTGGTGGGCTATTCCAGACAGTTTAACATAAGGAAAATTTTTAAAAGGGCTGCCCACGCACCTGCAGTTTAAAGCCATTCAACTCAGTTTACTGCACCCTTCACACCTTGTGCTGTGTGGGTGAATAAGGCCAACTGTTTATGCAGTTACTACTGCGGGCTGATGTCTGAATGCTGCTTTAGGCTACATGCAGTACTCTGCAAAGTTTGAGGGAAAGAACCTCAGTTATTTTACTTGAACTTGGTTGCAAGAAACTAATTTTGGTAGGTCATTCTGTGTCTAATTTAGACTGCTACTGGCCCCACTACTGTATCAATTACTGAGAATGGATAGAGTGTTAATGGAACACAAGGAATGATCTATGATTGAATTGATCCAGTGCTACACCATTCATACTCTCTGGGTCATGATGTATTAAAAGCTGTTTGTTTGTTTTTTGTGCATGTAGAGCACAATACCCTCTTGAGTTTTTTTAAAAAAACTGAGACAGTAGTTGCAATGTAGACTGACACTTTGCTCAATATTATAGGGCAGCTTTCCTGCAGGAACTATCGAAACCTCATGCAATTTCAGCCAGAATATAAAGCCAGCAGGTATGTGTGAAGTAATTCTATAAACATATCTACTTAGGAAAATTATCTGCAAACATGATAGTCAAATATTTTCCCAACTATACATAAACCCTGCTAAGTTGGGTTATCTTAATTTTTTGCTACTACAAATTTTGTGTAATATACTACCCAGTAGCTGAAGTTCTCTGGGCAGTTTACAACAATGCATAAAAAACCAGTATAAAATACAACTAGTATTTAAAAGATTAAATTCCAATACAAAATTTTAAACCAAATTTAAAGTTATATAAAACTTAAGGTTTAATTTAGATAAACTATTACAAATTTTTTTTTTACCACACTGGGGCTTCTGTGCCCCCCCCCCCCCCCGGTATAACAGTAGACTAATTAAATGCCCTCTGATAGAGGATAGCCTTTAATCTGGCACCAAAAATATATTAAAGTTGGCATCAGGTATGTCCCAGGTGAGGTTCTTAGTCCATAAGTGGGCTGCCATGGCTGGAAAAACCCTTCTAGTTATCACCAACCAAGTCTCTCTGGAGGTGGCAATCAGAGGCAGTCCCCAGTTCTTGTTCTTAGTATCTACGTACTTTGTAGTTGAGAGAGGTGTTCCATTGAATATTGTGGTTCCAAGCCAGGTAGGCCTTTAAGGTTAAAAGTAGCACCTTGAATTGGGCATGAAAGCATATAGGTAGCCAATGCAAACAGGCCAGGATAGATGTTACATGTTCTAGTTGTCTGGTCACTGTTATCATTCTGGCTGCTGCATTTTGCACAAGCTGCAGTTTCTGAAAACCTTTGCAAGGGCAACCCCATGTGGGTCATATTGCAGTAATCTAGTACAGAGATTATCAGAGTGTAGATTACAGAATCAAGCCTATTCCTATCCAGATAGGACATAGCTGAGCTTCCAGCCAAAGCTTGTGGAAGGCTCTCTGAGGCACTGCGAACATCTGGGCCTCAAGTAAGATGACTCAAAGAGCAGCCCCAAGCTACAAGCCTACTCCTTCAAATGAAGTGTAATCCCCTCAAGGAGAGGCTGAGTTCTTTCTGTCTGGTCAGAAGAACCGCCTACAAAGAGCATCTCAGTCTTGTTTGGATTTTTTCTCAGTTTGTTAACCCTCATCCAGTCCATTGTTGTAGCCAAACACCAGCTGGCACATTCACAGCTTCACACCTGCATAGGTTGTCTCTTTTGGTTGAATTTGGTCATTGAGGGAATGAAGTGAAGTTTATCTGATGGTTTGAAAGTTCTACAGGTATTTGATCAAAAGGGATAAAGTTGGGATTAAAGAAATTATTGCTCTTATACATTTTGATATGTGTGTAACTTTGTGAATGAAAAAATAGTGCTAAAGCAAATATTTTATTTCTTAGGTTTTAGATGATGATACAGTGTTCTGTACTATTTTGGGTGAAAAGGCAGAGTATAAAATATCTTTGAGCACAATACATTGTGAATGCTAGTAAGCTTCAGAACTCCCACCCAGCATAGCAGTAGTGATTTGGACTGAGAGCAAAGCTGGCTCCAGTGCTTCTAGGATACTTTGGCAAACCCAATCTTTGCTCCACCCTGCCTTCCAGACCCCCCCCCCCCCCACCCCTTTTCCAAAGTCAGTCATGACCTTAGATAAGTAACCGGAATAGTTCCTTCCATTATAAAGCAAGAAGGGGAGAGGGGAATTTAAATGGAAGGAAGTATTCCATTCGCAAGAAGCAGTGAAGGGAATTCTTTTCTGTCCTCAGATCTTGGAATCAGGAAGGTCTTATGGTTTTCTAGATGCCATGGGTGCCATATTAGAAGCATTTCTTTGTGAGAGAGAGAGTGGGCAGCCAGAGACAAGACAAGAGCAACAGAGACACCAGGACAACAGAACTTCAGGAAAGAGTCAAAAAGTAGGGTTTAATGGAAAGGAAAAGTCACACTGGGAGAGCCAGTGTGCTGTAGTGGTTAAGAGCATGGGACTGGGACTCAGATGATCTGGGTTCTAGTCCCCACTCAGCCATGGAGCCAACTGGGTGACTTTGGGCCAGTCACAGACTCTCAGCCCAACCTACCTCACAGGGTTGTCGCTGTGGGGATAAGTTGAAGGAGGAGATGTGAGCTGCCTTGAGCCCTTTGTAGGAAAAAGGCAGGATATAAATCGAAAAATAAATAAAATAGTCATGGTAGAGGTTGAAGTCAGAAACCAGAAGAATGCATGAGGGCAGAACAAGGACATGGTCAGGAACAAGGCAAGGGTCAAGAACCAGGAGGACAAACAGAAATGTAGGTCATGGACAGAATGATAGCGAGGAAGACACAGCATAGTAGGATGCACATGATAACAGCAACCAGGTGCAGGCAAGATGCAGAAGCTGAACCACAGCTCATAGGAAGCCATGCATTACTGAGGCTCCTGTATTTATCAGGCAAGAGGCAGGCACAACAGCAAACAGGCAAGTCTGAGTTGTTGAGGCAACATGGCAAAGCAGGAGACACAGCAGGGAGCTGGAGCAGTGCAGAGACAGCAGCAAATAGGAGGCTCTGTGCTGCAGAGGCAATGGAGCAGGAAGACCTGTGTGCCACAGCCAGTTCTGGAAGGAAGAGCTTGCTCTTACATAGTTCTTCCCTCAGGACTCCTAGCTGGCATTCATCAGTAGAATGAGAGGTTCAGCAGGGCTTGGGACTGACCCTGTGCATACAGTGACAGTTCTAGTTCTGGCCACCAGAGCAGCCCAGATCCTGACCGATTGATGCAAAAATACCATACCACTTAATTTGAATTAGTTAGAAAGAACCATATTGGCTTAACCTTGGAGAGGGATCATTTTATTGGGCAAGAAAAATCATCTGGTTAAAGCTATCCTGAGGCCTCTCCAACTTTCTTACCTGCTTCTGAAACACCTTGGCTGCAGTGGGGCGGGGGCAAAATTGGTTTTCTAAAGGAATATTCAGGAAGGGAAGATGAGGCAAAAGGTGTTTCTGCCTTCCATTGGATATTGCAAGCCTTTGAGTTTGGGACCTTAGGATCATTCAGGCTGCAACTCATGTCTGAGCCCTGAACTTGAATGTTCACATAATACATAACTTGAATGTTCACATAATTATAATACATAATAATAATAATATTGAACCCCAAGAGTATTAATGGTATATGTTGAATACATATTGTATGGTTTCTTTGCTTTAGGTTACTTTCTGCAGAACTATGATTCTAGATGCTGTTAATATCTTTTGCAATATTCAGTAATCTGAAGTTGTATATTATATCACTGTCGGCATGTGACTTTATCATATTTTCCTGTTCATAAATGTTGGCTTGCAACAGATCTGTTAACATTAGGCCATACTTATGGATAGCATTCTTTTGGTTTCAGAGCACCCAGTCTGATGCTAAATAAATAACTTCTCTTTAAGAAAGTGAAAACATCTTGGGGTCATAGATTTGCCCTGGATATATTGGTGTATAGGTAGCATAAAGTGTTAGTCTTGAAATATTTTTGTCTCATGTTATATTCTAATCACTTGTATACGTGGGGTTTTTTTTATTTTTGTTTTGGGTGGGCAAAGTGCTCAGCTTAACAGAACTTAAACATGGTATATTCCTTGACTATGTGCATTGTGAATTTGGGAAACAGTTGAAGACTAGACATCAATTAATGAAATGAAAAACTGAAAGTTCTGAATACTTCAAAATTTGCATCTTTCTAGAGCATTTAAATAGACTGTGTGAGAGAGGTGAGCCAAATGGAGTGTGATCATTCCATATAGTAGGTACTAACTAATTCCATAGGCATTGTTGTAGGCTTAAAACTCAAGAAGATTATCCCTACCTCCATAGCTCAGTTGTCTCAAAGTGCAGTAGCTATGGTATGTCAGTCCAGCAGTTATGGCAAACAGTGGCTTACCAATTCAGGGATCTTGCCAGGCTGCAAATAGAAGAAAGAATAGAAGTCAATTATTATTTCAGAGTAGAGGGCAGACAAGAGCTCATGGTGAGTACCAATGCTAGATCACAGTTTAGCATTGCATTTCAATAAGTAAGTATAACAATGGGCTGACCACAATTTGGTGTGCTGCCTGAATTGAGTTGGTTTCAGTATTTTAGGTGGTTGACTCATTACCTCTTTGAACATTTTAATTTATTCATCTGAGTAAACTAATTAGAAATAAACTTTGATTTGTAAAGAGGCTTCTTATAGGTCAGGTCTTGGTGGAAAGCCAAATGGCGAAGACAAACCAACAGGTGGATTTGAAAGTGGAAGGACTTTTGAAAACAGAGGTAAACTCAAACTTTACTACTTGTATTAACTAAAATACAAAAATGTTACTGGCAGCCCTTGAAACTAGGATGCCAATTAAGTACTAACTTTTTAATGTTGAACCAACTTAGCCAAATTATTCAGTTGTTTCAGTAACTTAGAAAATACTGTACTGTGTATACAATATTTTATGAAAATATTTCATAGATGTGAAATCAGTTTCTGAAAGAGCAGAGATTGGGGATATGGTAAATTTGGTAAAATTTGGCACTGCCTTATAATGCATTGCTTTGGAGAAAGCAGTAGATTGAAATGAACAATATAGAAAAGAAGCTGTTAGTGAAACATTTAGAAGCACATTTTACATGGGAAATGCTAGTATAATGTAGCATGTCCCCTGTTAAGTATGTTTTGACAGGAGTCTTGTGAACTCAAGAAGGAGAAGGATAGCTAGTTGAGGGAGTAGAACTTCTTTTTCTCAGGGCTACTTAAGGTGTTTATATTTTGAAGACTGAATATAATTGTAGAACACTTGTTTAATACATTCTTAATTTCTATATCTAACCAGGAAATAGGTTCGAAGGAAGAAAATGTTCAGGTTTTGTGAGAGGTAAGGTTATAGATTCCTGCCAGGAAACATTAACAATCTAACTCTGCACACATCTATGGTATAAAAACTAGTTTCTAAACTATGAGGTTTAGTTTATTAACAGATTTTTTTTCAGAATTAATAAAGAATGGTTGTGTGTGGCAGTCACTGCTATATCATGTAGAATGATTGTGTGGGACATTCTACATGTTAGAGCAGGACATTATAAACTTAGTCTGTTATACCAGTATATTCCCATTGATGGTATTCGTGATAATTTTTTTTAGTAGCTATTCAAAGTATTCAAAACTAATTCTTGGTAACTCTTGGTGCCTGTTGCTATTCCCTATATTCCATAATTGTCCACACAATCATTTTTTTCATTGTTGGCATGCTTCCTTCTAACTCTTAATCTCTGCAAATTCTTCTAATTAGGCTATATGTTGGCCACTTTATTTTATATGCATAATGAGTGCATCCCTGATTTGCATAACTGGATATGGATAGGTTTCCTCATCTCTAATTTCTTATGAGCTAGCCTGGCATGAAGTCAGGCTTCTGGGTGACTAATTCACTTAATTTCATGTTGAAATGTGAAAATGATGGCCTCTTGTTTTGTGTGTGCACATGAGTGAACTATTTCTGCAAACAAAGCATGAGCAGGTGGCATGAATGATGTTTGACTCCCGTTTTGAACAAAGGCTGAATAATATGGATATTGGCTTCTGTTTCTCTTGCCCACACTGATGGACTTGAAAATTCAGAACTTTGCAAATGAATGTGCACATCTTGGTGGAAAATGCAGTGTTGCCATTCTAAGGTGGACAGCTTGATCATTGAATGGGATTAATGCACTGATCTGTAAAAAGCAACAAGTTCCAAATATTTATTATACATTAGAGCTGGAAATGACATACTTCATTACAGTTAACATCTCTTGCTTGTTTGGCTGAACTGAAAATAAAATGTAAATTGTTATTTACGAGTTTCCATAGAATGGAGACCTGTTTAATTTCATATTAATTTCTTTGTCATGGAAGAAGTTGTTGATAATGAAGACAGGCAGGTGGAGGGGTTCTGAGAAGGAGAGTTAAGGCTATAAAGATTTTATTTTCTGTATTTGCTTTTTTTCTTCTTTGTGACTTTGCAACTTAGATTCCTACTTTCAAAATAAGAGATGGCATATATAGAAAATAAATTCAAGTTTCCATTTGCACCACCTGGTTAGTGGTCAGTGGGAATTAATGCAAACAGGATTGCAAGTTGTTATATACCTGGTAGTATGAAACCATCTATGTTGGGGTTTTGGCTTAGTAGTCTTCAAACTTACTATACCTGGGATAAGCATAAACTGGAATGATTGTGTTGCAGGACCTGCACTGGGATATTTTCTTGCATCATTTTCTTGACTTTTTTTCTCTGAAGAGCACAAAATTGTCTTAGGGTTTGCAATAGCTCTCTGAATTGTGTTAAGATGAATGGCAGTATTTTGCCCAGAGATAGTCTGGAGAACTTCATCGTAGGGATTTGAAACAAGATTTCTCTGTTCCCAAGTCAGTATTTTCATCAAAGAATGGCTCATCGCATAGATCTTGGTGTGTTTACCAGAGTTTAGAGCTGCACATTAACTTTTTTCTCATTGTCTTGAATTTGACTTCATATGTTCATTCTTGTCTCCACTGTGTAGTTGTCTCTGGAGACAGTGTCTAGAATTAATGGTTTAATGTCAATTCTGATAGTATACCAAACCTGGTATAATGTTTGGATTAACTTAGTATGTTGTCTGTTGCTTTCAAAGTTGTTGATAAAATACTGTTTTGCATTTTAGGTTTTCAAGGAATGAGTGATAGTGGTGGTCCTCGTTGGGGTGGAAGAGGATCAGTCAGAGGTAGAGGAGGATTTGGAGCATTTACAAGTAAGCTCTGATACTTTCAGTTTTCTTAGTATTGAAGCAATTAGTTTTTATTCTAGCCTGAAGAATCTAGAAATGAAAACATGTTGAATGGATATTGTCCTTGAGAAATCTTTGACAGGATAAACAAATGCTTTCCAGGGTCTTGAAAAATGCATGCTTTCCAAGGTCTTGAAAAAAATCACTAGTAATAGTTTGTGTAAGCTGGAATATGCCATTTTAGAAAAATCTTGAAGAGCCAGCATGGTGTAGCGGGACTGGGACTCAGGCTTCTAGTCTCCACTCAGCCATGGAGCCCACTGGGTGTTTGGGCCAGTCATAGATTCGCAGCCTAGCCTTGGGTTTCTTGGAAGGAAAAATAAATAAACAAATGTTCTTCAACTCTATGAAAAGCCTTACAAAGTGTTAAAAAACTTTGTTATGGGTTTCATTATAACAGATGATGAAAATGAGACACACAATGGAAGATACAATTCTGGAGGCTTTGGTTTTAAAAGAGGAGGATTTAGTGCTGCGGGTAAGAAACCAAGTGAAATTGGCTTACAGTCATCCTACAGAACAGATCTATGGTCCTGGGAAGACATCCCAAGGAGTAGAGTATGTTGGAGTCCCCTTTCTTGAAGCAGTTTCAGTCTCTTCCTTGTGGATGTGGAACTGCTATGTCTGCTTCTTGAGGTCATACGGAAAAAAATAATACAGGCTAGAAATTTTCTGCTGGATAAATAGTGATAATTTCACTATGCATTCTTAACCACATTACTATAGAAGTATGCATTTGATTTTAGGTGACTTTGGAAATAGAGGAAGAGGATCTGGAGGCAGAGGTAAAAGGATCCTAGTTCTTATTTCTGGGATATTTTGGGTCATCAGAATTCCTCCAAAACTTGCTCATAACATTTTTATAAAGGTGTAGATGATCTACCATTGTGCGCAATAATCTTATCCCAGCTGGACTCCATCCCCGGGCTCACTTTGAACTATTAACCGAAAATTTTCAGCTGCAAGGATATTTCATACCTGCCTAACCCATTTTGGCTCTTGTTAGAGCTCCAGTTACAGAGTTTCACTAACTTTTAACAGGGGGCTACAGAGGAAGCAATGAAGAAATAATTGGTGTTTCTGAAAGAAGTAAGTATATTTAAACATAAGCAACTTCAAAAACATCTAGGTATTTTCTTCCTTCCTCTACTAATCGTTTTTTTCTTAACAAAAAATACTCATTTCACTTAAAGGTACATGGAAATCAAATGGTGACACAGGAGGGGGTGATTGTACAGGTATGTTAAACAAATGGCTGGTGTTGGGGGTGTAAAGTCAATTACACTTTGTGTGTGTAGTGTGGTTAAGAGTGCAGGACAGGGACTTAGGTGATCTGGGTTCTAGTCCCCACTCAGCCATGGAGCTAATTGGATGACTTAGGGCCGGTCACAGAATCGTAGCCCAACCTGCCTTACAGGGCTGTTGTGGGGATAAAATTGAGAGCCAGAGGAGGAGAATGAAGTAAGCTGCCTTGAATTCTTTGGAAGGAAAAAAAAAGGTGGGATGTAAATCTAATAACTTTTATTGCATAACATGTTTACAACATATACATGTAAACATTTGCATCCCATTCTCATTCTTTTTATATTAAGCTATTTTTATGAAAACTGTTATCGAGATTTCTTTTGCATTGAAAACATGCCTTGAAAGCACAGGAAGCCAATCAGAAGGTGGTGAGAAATTTGGGTGACAATGTGCTCAGACAGCTAGATAAAATACTGTTCATTTTGGGTCGCTTTGGGCCATTAACTCACTCTCAGTCCAGCCTACCTCACAGGACTGCTGATATGAGGATAAAATGGAGCTATGGAAGCCACCGTGGGCTTCTTACAGGAGGGGGAAAAGGGTGAGATAAATGCAAGGTAGTAATTTTCTAATGCTTTTCCTGGAGTTTTGTCGCTGTTGAAAATACTGTATTAAAGCAACCTCCAAGCCTGGTAACTGGTTTAATCTCAGCCATTTAATATTTCTTTCTGAAAAGTGTAAAATAAACTCGATTATATAATTCACAAGTTAAAAGTTATTCTTGTTTTCATGCAGTTTCATAATCTTCCTTAACATAATAATTGCCAAGGTAGGAAGGTGCCTTTTGTTCACACATGAAGTTCCTTTATTTTTTCCTTCATGTGATCCAGAAAGCAGCCCAGGAAGGCTTCAGTTGGTTGGAGTTTCCCATTTCATCTAAATTGGAGAATTACGGCCATCAGTTCTGAAACAAGCTGGAGTATTTAAAAAAATCATGTTTTAATATCTAGGGCTATCAACCATGAGCTTCAGGTTCAGATGAAATGACAAACCATAACTGGCTAAACATAACTGGTTTGTTTGCCAGATCACACAAAGGAGCGAACAGCTTGTTTGCCCAAAGTCACCCAGTGAGCTTCACAGTTGAGTGGGGAGTAAAATCTAGATTGCCTGAGTCTCGGTCCCACCCTCTTAACTGCTTTACCACATGGGAGCCTGATAGCTTGCTTATTTTAGGCAAACGTTCTGAAGGTTGTATCCAGTTTTAGTCTAAATTAAGTCTATTAATTTCACTGTGTCTGTTCCAAATAGGACTCACAATGGATTCAGTCCCAACTTTATTAAGCACTGTTAATATATTTCTGGTTATATACTTGTGTGTACCCTCCTTCTGTTATTTGGTGTTGGTGAAAACATAGGCACAGCTGATTATATTGTACCCCAGAAATTCTATTAGTAGACAGTGTGTTAAAAGTATATGAATATGGGAAAATTTTGTACAGTTAATTTGCTTCAAGGCCCTATATTTGCAGGTCCAAAGGTGACATATGTACCACCACCACCACCAAACAGTGAAGATGCCATATTCGCACATTACCAAACTGGTATAAACTTTGACAAATATGATAACATTCTTGTTGAAGTTTCGGGACTTGATCCTCCACCAGCAATAATGGTTAGTAAACATTGTATTAAGCATTTAACTAGAAACATGAAAAAATGAAGGAAAAGCAATACCAATGCTTAAATGTACTATATGTTCTTAGCTAGATATGGTTCCTTCCTTCAAGGTGAAGAAGATAGGACGTAGATAGTGGTCCTCAACTTCTTGGAACTGTAGGCACATTTAGGAATTGTGGGCAACACCATGAAATGCCTGCATTCCACCTTCCACTGTGGAACTGAAGGTGGTGGCATGTGATTCCCAGCTGGTCTCCCCTCCAAGCTCATGCCAGTCCCAGGCCTGTTTGGGCAACATCCACTGTGTTGAAGCTAATCAGTAGATTTCAGCCTTATTGTTTGCCTGTCACATCTGTGGATCTTAAGTTAAGGCTTGTTCAACAAAATATTGTGTCTGCTGGAAACCACAATGTCACTTTAATTAAACTAATTGCTGGCAGTGCAGTAAATTAGTGCTTCTTTTAAACATTTGCTTTAACAAAATGCAGTACTTGTTCCTTTTTGGGAGGAATTATTCCACAGTGCTGGAATAGTCATAACCATTCCACAGTTTTTCAAAATATTTACTTGCTTCATGGAGATCAATAAAAATACTTTGTGTAAATTGGCTTCTCTGCTCTCCTTTGGCAGCTGGGAGATTGGTATTACAGATTTTATAATGAAATGGGATTCCAGTGCTTTTGATATAGAAGGCTGATGTATAGATGTCATTGTCAAATGGATACCTAGTTGGATATTAGATCTGCTTTTGGTGACATCTTTGTGTAATTAGTAGAAAGTTGTATTATTTTCATATAAATTCATGTATGTATGCATTTAAAATGGCTGTCTGTGGGAACTGCTTTGGGGACCCTTAGCATAGATGACTTCCTTTTACATTTATTTTGCAGGTTCTCTGCATTAAAGCACACTGGAATATCTAAGATTGTTTTATATATTAAGTCCTTTATATTTCTTATACAGGGGAGAGACTGAACAGTTTTCCTAAAGTACTGAAATGCAGCCTTGAGATTTGATATTAGTCTCTATCTTAAAATACCAGTCTGTAACCATATTTTACAAGTAACTAGGATTCCTCAAATGCCTCTGTCATTCTTTCTTGAAGTTAAAGACATGCAGCCAAATTTTTGTAGTTAAGCAATCTAAAAGTATAAGTAATTCTTGAAACACTAATGTAGAGAAAACCCTTTGTTACAGAGCTTTTCTATTGAAGTTACATAAAAGGGTAATAAGCTCTGCCCTGGTGTTGGCTTCTCTTAATACCTGATACTGTTTTCTGTCAGGTCCCTTTTCAGTTACCTGGGGCTACTGCTTCTAGACCTAGTTTACTTATTACAGTGGGAACTCCTGAGGGATGGCAGGAATATAAGGAGTGCATGAGCCATTTCCATTTTCAATAAACAACCAAGAAACATTGTTTCTGTATTACATGGCTTCTGAAAATGGAAACTATGACTTGATTAGTGTTAAGCAAAAGCATAGATAACTAGGTTATAGAACTTAAGAGTCCACGTCTGTCTTGTCATTTACTTCAGTAAAGAACTACCATTCCTACTGGTTCCAGTAAATAAAGAGTTGGCACTTGTGATGCTATGCCACTTGAAGTTACATATGACAATTTTTGGGACATGCTTTTGAGATGCTTTATTGCCTAACAACATTTATAGTCCATTTCTTCAAATGGTTTAAGAAATTCCTTCATTTTTATGTCCTACCAGCTGCTGCAAACAAAAGTAGCATATCAAGAGGTAGTACATAGCATCCCTCTAGAGATAGATGTAATATTTCTAGAAAAAAAGGAAAAAATTAAATATTAGCTTTCTTATATTAGGAACATTAACACGGGGTAAATTGGTTTGGCATACAATTATGTTTGACATGTTAAAAACAGACCTTGTTCACATTATTACAAGTTGAATTGGTTTTTTATTTTAATTTGTCTTGAACTGTACACCTGTACAGTTTAAGACAGAACTTCATAGTCCTGGTTTTCTCTATATTTGTAATGAGCCTCTTCAATTTTGCCAGGTTATGAGCAGGCAAAAAACAACAGAAGCAGAGGGAAAAATCAATATTTATAAAACAAAGAAAAATATATCTTCTCCAATCCTCTACTCCATAGTGTCAAACAGATTTAGATACTGATTCAGATGCAGTGACTGCTGTGAAAACATTGGTTTTATAATCTTCAGGAAGTTACACAGCTGAACTCAGAAGTCATCCTCATCAAGTACAGTATTCTTTACACTTCTTCTGGGTACTTCCTAAATTATTCATGTTTCTCAAAGACCTTAATTTGCTTTTCAAAGGAGATAATCACCCCATTTTATTGAATTTTATGAGAAAGCTTCCATGATTTGTTTATTTTTTTATGCTTTTTGAAGACTGCAGCCACAATATGAATAGCTTTTATGTAGTGTCATTAAGAAGCAAATTTAACCTGTGATGTGCAACATCCTGATATGGTAGTATGTGGGTGCTTATCCATTATAATCTTCTATACTGCTTTCATATTGCATTGTCAGTCAGCGTAGCAAATAGTTCACTACTTCAGATTTTCATAGAAATTCACATAATTAACAATGAATACACCGTATGTCCTCTCCTGTTCTAGTGGTTTTCTAAAAACTGGTTGAGGCATTGGTTGAACCAAAACTGGTTGAACCACCCTAAAGTTTGGTTCCTTCTCCCATCAGTTTGACCATTCCCCTGCAAGTACTGCAAGGCATAGTACTTTGTTGATTTTCTCCTTGTGCAGATTGCATTATGCATTATATTCTGGCTGTTACACATTTTCCTTTATTCACTATAAGTTTCAAAAAAAGCATTAGTCTTTTCATTGTCTTGATCTTGCTTGATCAAGCATTATCTTGATCATTAGGTATCATCTGGTATCTTGTCTACAAATAAAGCTGCTGATTATTCTTAGAATGCAGTTGATTGCAGAACATTTTACTTGAAGATACTGATGGGCAAACTCTTTGTGATATTACTGGTGTTTTAGAAGGAACACAAAGAGAAGTTCTGGAATGAAAATACTGAGAAAGCTACTTGTACTTCTTCAGTATGGTCCTGCTGACTTAGATCCATGAAGGACTTCTTAATGTCTTCAGGATAAGTTGTGTCATCTTAGTAGCATTTGAAATGGCATATTTTAGTGTGTTCCCATCATTTTTTTAAAGAAGAATTTGTGTGTAGATGTGGCTTTATATGCTAGATGTTGGGACTAACCAATTTACTGAGGGAAAGTTCTGAAAAAAATAATTTAGTAGCTAACTTGCCAGTAAATACTTAGCTGTGGTATAGTGAAGCGTCAGAGTAGCAGGAATTACATTCTGATTTGCATACATTTTATCAAGATAAACCAAGTTAAAATATGGTTCGATTTTCTGAATTAGATAAGTATGGCCTTGCAAATATATTATGCACTCCTGTGTTAACAATACGAGTTACTCAGTAGTTTCACCCCATTCTTCAAAACCTAATGATGGGGACAGGAACAGATCCAGCAAGTATATCAACAAGGGGGTAGCCCATAGCCAAAGATTTCTTTTGTGACAGTGTGTAGTACTGCCTTCTGAGGCAGAAATGCATTGTGCCCTTGCATTTGTGAATTTTAGTCCCAACTGGATTGGTTTCTCTGCTGTAAGAATTTTATTGATTCAGTACTGTATATAGTCTTACATTAACTTCTGTTTACACAGACTTTAGAAAACATTTGGGGGAGCAAATACTTGAACACCTTGTCTGAAGCACTGTTGCCATCATTTTGAAAAGAAATATTCCATAACCTATTTCTTCCATTTGTCCTGTTCTTCAAGGAGATAACACATCTAGATCTTCCACAGGAAATCATGGTTTTCAGCTTCATCCTTGCTGTTGAACTGTTTTTGTTTAGAAAGAATTTGCCTACTATTAACTTTTAATTTTACAAAATAACAGTGCAATTTTGTTGTTGCCAAGGATAACAGATTTTTGTGCATTTTGTATTGATTCTCTTATGAGTGTTGTTTTATATACTGTTTTACCTGCTTTTCATGTATACTGTCTTGAGTAACCGGATTGATATGGAATTATCAAAATAAGTGCTTCTAAATTTTTTGAAATGCTAATAAGTGTGAGTTGCATGCTTGACTTCCTCAGTGTATTTTTGTGTGCAATATGTCTATTTTCTTAGGCTTTTGAAGAAGCTAACCTGTGTCAAACATTAATCAAGAACATTGCTAAAGCTGGATATTTCAAACTTACTCCAGTGCAGAAATACAGCATTCCTATTGTGCTGGCAGGGCGTGATTTAATGGCATGTGCCCAAACAGGATCTGGAAAAACAGTAAGTATAAAATGCCTGTATAGCAATGAAGTAGAGGTTTAATGGGGTTGCAGTAATCTTGTTTTGGGTTTAACATATAAAATAGTGACATGGTCCTGTATGTGAGCCTTTTATGGCACTGTTAACCCTAACCAGACTGAAACTGTTGAATGGTGCAGCAAATGGAAAATAGTTCATTTTGGTTAAACATTAGATTGCAATGGATGTTTTTTATACTTTTAAGTTGGTTTTAAATGAACATACATGAAACTTTATTAAATACTAATAAATTTGTCTTAAATATAAATTCAATTTTACATATATGTGGAGGCATGCTGGTTGAATAGTTTAAGGATACAAATCTCTTGTTGCTTGCCTAAATTCATCACTTTTAGTACCTTCTGAGATACATGAATGCTTTTTAATTTTGGTATGTGTTGTCCACCTTTAGTGATGATCACTAATGTGCCATGCTGGTTCAGGCAAGAATCTCCACAGTTGGTTCCTTTGAAAATAAATGATAGACTGAAGACATTTATTTCTTGAGTGTTTTCAATAACTTTCCAGGCTTTCTGTATGTTGAGAAAAAAACAAGCAATTTCTATGTTTCGGGGCCAAATAATTTCATAGTTGTAAAATATTTGCCCTTTAGGCAGCATTTCTTCTACCAATTTTGGCTCATATGATGCGAGATGGAGTTACTGCCAGTCAATTCAAAGAGCAGCAAGAACCAGAATGTATAATTGTAGCACCAACTAGAGAACTGGTAAACCAGATTTTCATGGAATCAAGAAAATTTGCATATGGGTGAGTTAAACAAAATCTCAAGTGTTTTTACCTTAAAAAAAAACAACAAAACAGGCAGCAGTGCTGTTATATACGATCTAATATTAATATTTTTGTAACTTGGAAGGCTGTCTCAGCTTAGTAGTGTGTGATTCTATTTATTCTTGTGAAGCCAGCTGCCAAATTCTGATTTGAATTTCTCTGGATAATCATGTTTGTCTCTCAGAAATGTATACAGGGGAAGAAATGCCTTAGTGCTAATTCTGTGTTTGACAGCTAGCATTGTTGCAATATGGATTCAATTATTAATCTAATTGCATTGGACTGTTGAAATAAATGCAAAAATCTAAAGCATCTGTCAGTACTATGTAGCTAGTTCAAGGAATGCAATTATTAAGCCATCATCAGAAGACTGGGAAAAGTTACTCCTTGTACAGATGATAAATGCTGAAAAGGGAGGCTTTAGAACATAGATTTCAGGGCTTTTGGCCTCTGAAGACAGGGTCTAAAATAGAACCATTTTAAATCAGGCTCAAAAATGTGTGATGGCTGATGAATACTTAATGAACTGCTGGACCTAATAGCTATACAGTTTTCATTTGACATATTATCGTGCTTGGTTGCTGCCAGTGGAAATACTGATTCTTCCAAAAAGTGGTTAACATACCTTGGTATAATAAGGTAGATGGTTGCTTTAATTACAGTGAAATTGGGGAGCTCTTATTTGATAGTTACATTAGCATTGAGTATCATAAGTGTGGAATTAGGGTGAATTAGACCCTAATCTATAGTGAATGAGAGAAAACAGATTTTGTATATCCAAAGTATAGAAACAGAGCAAGTCAGAAGGGGTCTCCTGGGCCATCTAGTCTGACCCCCGGCTCCAGCCAGCTCCGCTCACGACATGCCCACCATGTGCATGTCCAGCCTATCTTTGAACACCCTCACCAATGGGGCCTCAACGACCTCTTGTGGAAGCCCATTCCACACCCTCGGGGTCCTAACTATCAGGAAGTGCTTCCCGGCATCTAAATGGAACCTGCGTTCCCTGAGCTTTGCTCCGTTGGAGCGTGTCCTGCCTTCCTCTGCAGGGGAGAACAGGTCTCTACCCATCTCCATGTGACATCCCCTCACATACCTGTATGTTGGCAACATACAGG